CAATCAATACTGGAAAATTATATCTATGGAAGTTAAGACTATCTTAATTTAACTTAGAATTTGAACATATTGAAGGAGTTCAAAATAGTTTAGCTGATTGGATCTATAGATAAATAGAAGATGAAACAGATCTTCCTAATTACATGACCATATATTGTAGTAAACCTCAAGAATTATATGATGATTTATATGTTATACCTCCTTGCGAGGAAATAGCAAATGAAGCAAGAAATGATAAAGATAACATACCGAGAAACGTAATATGGAAGGATGATTACCCAGTTCACTATAGAACAGGAGGATTATATATATTAGAAAAATATAGAAAGCATTTATTGTATTAATTTCATAGTAGTAAATTCGCAAGACAATGTGGAGTAAATAAAACACTAAAGAAAATACAAAAACATTTTTGGTGGCCCAATATTAGTGAAGATATTGAAGAATACGTCACAAATTGTTTAGTTTGTCAAGTAATGCGTAATTAGAAATTTAAACCCAATAGTAATCAAGCTTTATCAAAACCGAATATGTTTGATATGGTTTCATTATATGTTATAGGACCTAAAACGTGAAAAGGTACAAAATACTATATACAAGTAGCAATAGATCATCATTCACGTTTTATGGTAACTAATATAACTAATAAAACACCTAATGCTATGAACGCAATTAACGTTATAAAGGAAACATGGATACCCATATTTGGATGCCATAGAAGCATTTTAACAGATCGCATTTCAATTTATACTAGTCAAGAATTTCATGACTATTTTACAAAAGAAATACAGGTTAAATTGCATCATACCATCACATATTATCCACAAGGAAACTGTATAAATGAAAGGTCTCATAAAAGCTTGAATATATCATTAAGACTTTATATGAAGAAAAAGATATACCTTTTGAAGAAATAGTACAAAATGCAGTACTAATATATAATAATACACCTCATGGAGATATAGGAGAAACACCCTATTTTGCTATGTTTGGAATAGATTGTATCTGTCCATGGTTTGCAAAATTAGTACGAGAAACAACTTCTGAAATGAGGATTATATACTTAAACGATAAATGGAAAAAGATACATGAAGATGTAATGAAATCAAAAGAAAACCTATAATTGAGAATAAAAATATTAAGGTTGGAGATATTATCTCATGCGAATTATCCGAATACAAAAGGAAACAAATGAAACACTATAGTAGAAATATACCATATAAACCATATTGGACATTTCCTCATAGAGTAACAAAAATTGAAAGCGGAATTCTGAAAGCATTACTTATATATTAGAGAAGTAAAGAAATACAAATTCCAGTGTTAAAAATAAAATTGCTGAGTATCAAAACCAGGGAAATATATGAAAGGCAACTGCACAATTTAATACAAGTTACGAATAAAAATAAAAGGAAACTAAATCTTACGCATGATTTAAAGTCTAAAGGTTACCTAGATATTCATAAACGAAGTAGCATCATAACGTATGATATAAACGATAATCAGGATAAGCAAATTGAAAAAGGAGTACAAAAAGGACTTGATATAATAAAACAAGCCAAAAATAACAAACTTTAAAGTAATAACCATTACTTTCCCATGGTGGTGGAGTATGGTTAATAAAAGGTCTAGTTAAATGAAGAATTCTAAGCTCGTCATAAATACACACACAAAAAAAAAATTGGTAATTTTTTTTTTGTTTGTACTTTTTTTTAAAAAAAAAGTACAAAGATTGTCAGGAAAAATTTTGATAAAAAAAAAAAAAATACAAATATCGTCAGGAAAAAAAAATGATTAAAAAGTCAATTAGAAAAATATTTGTTACCATTAAATAAATATAAAAAAAAAAAAAAAGAAAAAAAGAAAAAAAAAGATTTTTTCTTTTTGGAATGAATTATAATTTTAATGAATTTTGTAAGAGAAAGTTTTATACATATAACAATGAAATTTTCATGTAATTAACATTCATATAATTTATTTGCGTTTTTTCTAATTGTTTATGTTTGTTAATTCATCAGAAATATATATTAATTTCTGATTGTAGCTCATAATAAATAACTAGTAATTTACAATTAATTAACAATTAATGTTCAATAAGGATTTAAATTTTTAATAAGAATAAAGATTTTTATTAAAGTAAATAAATGTCTATTGAAATTAAAGAATTACGAATGAAGTATATTACGTAAATAAGGATCACTCATTCAAAACATATAGAAATATACAAATACATCAAAACCGTAGAGGCGACTCTATAAGCTCTTTATTAATTCGTTTATTCAGTACTCTAATAATGTTACCGAATACCCAATTAATAAAACATGCACAAATGTATTATAAATAAGAATAAAATTGTTTACTTTAAAATAAATAATCTTAAAAATAAGCACTAAATATATACCGATAACCAGAATTTAATTAATCCATACTCATCAAATAAAGTTACAAAAAATTTAAACCAACAAACTTCTAATATCTTAAAACTTAATAAATTTTTACTCAATAAACATAATCTTCACCCTTTTCCTAACAACTTGCATATTCCAAGTAAATTTTCTAAAATTCAACAATAAAATTTTTATAAAATTTATACCATGCCATAATATTCAAATAATTAATTTATCTGTTATCTTCTCTTTTTTTTTTAATATACTTATTCATTCTTAATCATAATGTCAACATAATAATATATATAAATAAAAATAAAAAAAATTATAAAAAGTGGTAAATAATTATTAAATTTTTAATAACGAAAAACCATAAATATAATCATAAACATTCATAAAAAAATAGGTTTCACCTATAATATTCCTGCGAAAAAAATAATCAACTCCCATAAAAATCATGTAAAATGCTAAAAAAAAATAAAACACATTTACTTTGATCACAGACTTTCTCAGTAAATCATTCATTGTAATTTATATTGTAAAAATATAAATATGAAAAAAAAAAAAAATTGAACAAAATGATAAATTTTATTTTTTTTTTTTTTTTTTTATTGTTTTTTATCCAGAAAAATAAAGTTTCATAAATTCATCTCACATTTTTCATTCATTTTTTTTTTCAATGTAATGATATCTTGTTTCTAAGAAATTATTGTTAATAAACTATTGTTATTTTTATTTTCAAAAAACATTATAAGAAATAATTTAAAAAAAAATAATCAAAAAAGAATTTAAATTTTCTTGTNTTAAACATTACAAGGATTATGGTATAAACGAAAAATAAATACAACAACAAAATAGATACATATTCTATAAATACATTTTTATTTTTATTTTTTTTTTTTATGTCATTTTTAAGATAAATGTTTATATAATATATGTATATATTTATTTTTTGTTATAACTATTTTTTAAAAAAAATTACTTTTCAACCATTTAAAAAAAAATAAAAAAAATTTAGTAAGTACTTAATTTAAAAGGAAAAACTGAAAATAGGTATTTACTTTAAAGAAATTATAATAAAAAATCTTATAAAAAGCACCTTTACAAATCAAATTAATTAATTATAATTTAAAAAAAAAAAAAAGAAAATACTATTTTTTTAATCATATATTTACCGTAAAAGATATTTTTTAAAAAAAGTTTTATTTTTTGATAAATTTACTTTATTCTAAAAATATATTTTTGTAAATTTACTTTTTTACTAATAATACTTATTAGTTTAAATTTTTATATAAATATTATTTACTGAATATAAAAATATATCTTTTGTTAAATATAATAGATTTTTTCTTATAAAATTCAAAAGAATGGATTTTTATTGCCATATAAAATATATGAATAAATAAAGATAAAATTAAATTATAAAATAACTTTTTGCATATATATAATCATAATCTTCTAATTGAATATAAAAAAAAATTATTTTATTTTCTTTTTTTTTTCCTTTATATATTTATTTGATAAGTTTTGATTATTATTAGGATGTGTTTATTTTCTTTTTTATTTTTAGTTTTAAACTTAATATATTTTTTTTATAAAATATATATGAATAATTAAAATATTATATTATAACTACCACTTATAGAATTTACATGTATATATATATATATATATATATGTTTTGTTTTTGTTTTTACGTATTTTATATTTTATAAAAATATTATTTAGATCCTTTATAATAAGCATTATAAGTTATTAAGTACATTATATTATTTGTATATAAACTATTTTTTACTTCTTCAATTATATAAATTTACTATTCAAAAAAAAATGCCGTAAAAATATTATATAATAATTAAATTCTTTATTTAAAATACAAAAATTAAATAATCATATCATTATTTCAAACTTATATTCATAATTATCTTATTATATAAAAAATTGAAGAAAACATAGAAATAACACTTAAAATAATTTCTTTTTTTTATACCAATTTTTTTTTTTAATTATATTTTCATAACATAAAATGATGTTTTACTATATCAATTATTTTATTTTTTTTTTTTCTTAATTTTAATTTTATAAATTAAACTTTTGTTTTATTAATTATATTTTTTTCTTGTTATTTGAAAACTAATAATATTATTGTTACATGAAATTAAAAATTTAATATTCAACACAAAAAGCAAACAAAAAATTCCCTTTATCCTAAATTAATATCCTATACTATATAAAATACCAATTTCAAATATAAACAAATTTATAATATAGTTATCACATAAGTACAAGTATTGTCATTTCTATGTAGAAATTATAACAATTTCCCAATGTAATTCAAGTGTATAATGATGCTCAAAAATAACAAAAGTATCTATATTCAATTTATTGGTCAAATTAAATTATTTTTCTTCCTTAATTGGATTAACGAATATTTTTTAAATGTTTTGTAAATTTTAAATATAAAATTCATACATACATACACATTACTTTTTGGTTTTCTTGAAATTTTTACATTTATCTATATTTCATATAAAAATTTCTTTTCTTTAATAAATCAATTTTTGTATACTATTACAAAATATTTTGAGAAAACCTTGTGATGATATCATAATTATGAGAAAAAGATCAATTTTAAGGAAAGCAAGATTTTTATCGCAAAAAGAAGAACTTTCCTGTATATTAGATAAACAAAATGAGGAGACAAAAGAACATGAAAGTAATTCCCTTAATAAAACAAGCGAACTTAATAAAGAAATTGAAACACTTATGAACGATACTTACATTGAACTTAATTTTTATCTGAATGACAATGAAATTAAGGATACTACAGAAAAATGTAAAAAGTCATCCTCATATATAAATTGGAGAGGAATGGACTTTGTTAATTTAGTATTAAATGAAGATAAAAATCATACTATCTCAAGTCTTGTTGATTGTTGGAAAAAAAAACAGAGTTCTTTCGAGATGCAAATACATGATAAAACAAATTCATCATGTAATTTGAAAAATTTTGATTATTGTGCTGTTTTGAATAAAAATGATAATTGCACCAGTCCTTATGAAAATAGTGATATACCTGAATTAATATCCTTACCATATGACCAACTTAATGAGGAGCAATATAAATCAAATAAAACTAAAATTATTTATGATAGGCTTACTAGGTTTACTGATATTACTAGTGATATATCTAATTACTATTATAAAGTATATGAACGTGATGAAAGTCAACTTAATTGTGGAAAGTGGAGTATGTATATATATAAGAGAGGAAGACAATTTGTTAACATGAACTACTATGAGTTTTACTTGGAAGAATCTTTTAGAGAAGATTCTACTAATATTTGGAATGCTTATAGCACTAATAAGCAAAAAAGTATATTAAATGACACAGGTAATCGATGTAATATGACATCACTAATTTATGAAATTAAAAAGAGAGAGAATACAACTGAACGATATGATTTATCTTGGATTCGTTCAGATGATCATGATGAATCTGATGAAACTTTATATCCTACAACTTCATTACCAGCTATTACACAACCTACAGAGGAAATTTCAGATACATCACATGCTAGCGTTGGTGTAGATCCATTAGATGATCGTGCAAAAGCTAAAATGGGCGGTTTTAGAGATTCTAAAAATGCTACACTAAATGCTATAGCATCACCGGGTGATAAAGATAAACTTGAAATAGCTGAAAAAGCTGCGAAAGCTGCAGCTCCTGTTTCTCTAGGAGATCCACCACAACCCAATTCTAAAACTTCAAATAGCACGAATGGACATAACTCGTCGAAAACTGAACCTACAATTTTACCTACTACAGATGATAACTCTAAACGACCTATTACTGTCGTTAAATCTTCTGAAAGTAATACTACTCCTTCAAGAACTGTACCTTTTCCTGAAAATACACCATCTCATACAAACATGTTTTCTGCAGATAGCAATTCATCTTCCTCAGGATTTTCTGCATCCCCAATGACTGAATCTGGTAATTTTACAGCTAATTTTGGTGCTTCTCCATTGAATGATACATATTCTACAAATAACCATACATCTCCTGCTCTAGATATGCCCAATTCTGCCATTCCTAGCAGTGTACAACCTATAGCTGTTACTAAAATTAATTCTAATGGTGCTCCACCTATTGTAAATGAATCATTATCTGAGGCACCTAATTATAAAGCTCCTGTGGAGGTACATACTCCTCTAATTAATGCTGCATTTCCCAAAAATGAAACTGTGTCTCCAACCTTATATGAATCTTTAACGCCTTCAGATATCAATGCATCTCCTAGTAATACAACTGAATCTACTACAGCAAATGATAATACACAATTATCTCAAGCAAGCTATCCCCCAACACAAAGTTCAAAAAATACACTTACTTCGATTGCTCAACCTATTAATTCACCTTTAATCGAAGTTCAAAATAATGCATCAGCAAATTGTACGAACATATGTACTCCAAATATTAATACCACACAAATTCCATTAGATGAAAGTACTGAACCTACACCTACAATTAATCCTGCAGGAAGTATAATAACAATAGTTCCAATAGGTATACTCATTTTAGGAATTATATTCCTTTTAGTTATTCTCTATAGAGTAAGATAAAATTAATAATTAAAAATTCAAAAACATATATATATAAAATACTAATAACTATATTAGTAAAATTTTCGTAATTTTCTTATTTTTATTTCTAATTATAGTGCACTCCTATTGGATCTTGGATTCGTAATCGAAAATCAAAGAAAAAAAAAATAAGAAAAAAGATAAAAAAAATTTCAAAGAAACCAATGCCATTATCTACAAATAATATAGAGGATGGACAAATCAATAGTGGAAATCACTCTTTGTTACAGCATGAAAAACAAATATCACCATGTGAGGTTAGTTTTGAAAGTGAAAGAAATTCGAAACAAGAGCAAATGGGAAAATCCAAAGAACGTAAAGGAATATACAATGAAAAAGGAAATATATGCATTTGTGATAATACAGAAGGGACAAATATGTATGAAAATAAATTTATAGGTGAAAAAAAATTAAATACAGATAATCCTAAATGTGAAATTAATAAGGAGGAATTGAATGGAAATGAACCTAATAGTGAAAATGAAGATGAATTAAATAAAAATATATTAGAAAAAGATCCTGTTCATATTGTATGGCATATTAGGAATGGTACATTAAATGAGGAAAAAGAAAATGAAATAAATTCGCAAAAGGAAAAATCTACATGTGAAAATGAAATGAAAAATTTGGGAAATAAAACGACAATCAAGAATAATGTATGTAATTGGAATTCATGGGTAGATATACATATGACTGCATTACTAGAGTATAAAAAAGAGGAATGGAAATTGAATAAAACAGAATTTTTTAATATTTGTTTAGAAGAGATCGAAAAAGATGGAGAAAATTTTAATTTAAAAGAAATGCGAAATCATTTTATAATGAAAATAAAAGAAGAAAATAGT